TAGATAGATAGATGGATAGATAGATAGATAGATAGATAGATAGATAGATAGATAGATAGATAGATAGATAGATAGATAGATAGATAGATAGATAGTGTTGTGGTTAGAATACCACGTCGTGTTCAAAACGGCTGAGGCGTCGCCCTTCGTATAAAAGATTTATTTGACACAACATGGGTTACAGATATTCAGAGACAAACAGTTACATTAATAAGATATATGCATATAAATGGAGCATTAAGAACAAACCGCCTCCTGCGTTCCTCTCTGAAAATGCTCAGTGCGCGTGCGTCATTCCCGGCCTTTTATCCCCGTTTGAGAAGGCTAGCTTTCTGATTGGTTCAGCTTCTGTCGCTATGGTTACGACGTAGCCCGCCCCCTCAAGGACGTTACGTCTATATTTCAGATAAGTTTTGGTTCGGCTTTTGTTTAAAGTTTAACTTGCTATTATACTTTAGGGATATAAAATGATTCGTGTCTAAATTGTTTATGCGTAATAATTAATAACTATTAATTATTACCTATCTCCTGGGTGTTAATTCACTATCTGTTGGAGGTCTGGTGATTCTGTTTTTAAGGCAGAATCATCTTAGTTTCTGTGTCTGCGTTTAGAACCGTTAACCCTGTTTGTTTAACATGATAACACTGATTTTAAATAGTTGTTTATTTCTAGGAATAATTATATTATCTTTATTTATGTTAATCAGTCTGCTCTCTGGCCTGATTTGATTGCTTGTAATTTATCAAATGTGAACTTGTAAAATTATCCTTAGCTACTATGAGATTATATTTAAAGGTCAACTAGTTAGAATTAGCAAACACTTTCTATACACATAGTTCAACCTTGGAAGAAAGACACGCACACACTTTATATGACCTGACATTTGAGTGCTTGATAGGAATTATAAAAAGGTATAAAATATTAAATCCAACATTAGATAGATAGATAGATAGATAGATAGATAGATAGATAGATAGATAGATAATGTGTCATTTACTTTTTGTCCAGTAGGGGTCCGTGACGAGTAGAGAAAATGTGGGAGGAAAGAATGATTCCAGGGATCTGAGTCAGCAGCTCTTTACGTATTCTGTCTCTTCCCCTCAACTCAACTTCCGGTGGATCATCTTCAAATCTAAACTCCTTTATGATAAACTATGGACACTGGCAACGTTTGTGGACCATAAGAAGCTTCGTTTGGAGGGATAATAAAAGCAGAAGACCATTTTGCGTGTCGCTAAGGTATCCTATAACATCCATTTCTCTGCTGCTGGTTGAAACACGCTGCTTTTTTTTTCCTGCAGAAAAAGTTTGCTAACCTCCCGGTGCTTTTCGTCTAGCTGTAACTTCAGCGTTTTACCTCCATTTTTAGATTAAATATTCGTTAAACTCGTCAGGTTAGAGTTGTATGTTGAGCTAAACCAAATTAAAGTGAATTAGACATAAGCTTTGATGAACAATAGGATTAAAAAAAGACAGGCGCTCATAGTTTGTCTGTTGTCATGGAGAAGTAACCGGAAGTGAGCTGTACAACTGATTATTGGACGAGTTTCAGGTACCGTCTATAACCTGGAGTCCTTGGGATGTAAAACATCATTATACAAACAAAGATGTAGCCAGAAAATAATGTTTTATAAACACGTACTTGAGCCTGATTTGGCAATAGGTGATGAAGAATTGCAATCAATCATCTAAGTTTAAAGTATTATTTTATGTTGTAAAATGACGGAGTGGTAGCTGTTTCGTTGAAACCTCGACAATAATTTCATAAACAAATTTACATTGTATGTTGTGAACAACTCAGCTACCACCATGCCAAAGTTTAGCTTAATATATGTTAAACTGACTGAGTTGTAGCCATTATTATCGTGGCTAATATTGATTAGCTGCGGCAGCCATCTTGAAATGGACTGACTCTAAAAGGTAATGAGTTGTAGGTGAACAGCCACTGGTTACTTCCTGAAAGCGTTGTTAAAACCCATCCAGTGGTTCATGAGATATTTTGCTAACAAAGAAGACAGGATAGCCTGCAACGCAGTGGTAAAGTTTTAAGTAACGGGTTTTACATTAAAAGTAGTGCTTGAAATATGTGTTGAGGACTACTCTCAGCTACTACCATGCCACATTTTAGCCAACTGTCAGTCAACCTGATTGAATTGTAGCGATTTTTGTGTTTCACGAGGTCAGTTAGCTACAGCGACCATCTTGAATTGGGTTTACTCCAAAAAATTGAGTTGCAGATGTTCATCCAATGATTATTTCTTGAATATTTGATTGAAATCTACTCAGTTTCTAAGATATTTTGCTAACAGACGAGGCAGAGTTGACTCCAAACTTTATTTAGTTGTAGAAGTTCATACGATAATGACTGAGTTTCATTAGATACCATTCAGTAGTTAATGAGATATTTTGCCAACAGACACGCACACTGTTTTTTTTTTATTTGTCTGTAGGTATTGTGTCTCCTGACCCGTCATGTCTGTCAGAGTATCATCCATGAGTGTTTTCCCTCCGGTCCGACGGGACCGAGTCATCGCTCGGCTCCCTCAGGTAAAATCTGTCAGCGCCGTCGGCTGGTTCTTGTTCTAAAAGTTTAAACGGTCTCAACTGGACCCGCTCTCTTCAGTCTTTCAGGAAAGAGGCATCGCTCCACACGAAGGAGGATTTCAGCAGTAAAGTGAGGACGGCCTGCCAGGAGCAGCGGACCGGCACCGTGGGGTGAGAGCAGAACATTTAAGTCACTTTATACAATCTGACTGAAGTTGCTCAACTTTCTGACCTGTTGCTTCTTCTCCATCAGATTCAAGATCTCGAAGGTCATCGTTGTGGGAGATCTGGCTGTGGGGAAAACCTGCCTGATAAACAGGTAAACTCAAAGTGCTCAACGACACATCTGCATTACTTTAAAACACAGATTTAATTATTGTACATGCTTTCTTCATTAGCATCCTGGTGTATTTTAATTAAAATACACAGTAATACTAACGTATTATCCATTCATACATCTAAATCTTTGTCCACTTTTTCCTTTGTCGTGTCGCTGGTGTCCATGTCCAGCAGTCATAGTGTGAGAACACTTGTAGTCCTGAACATACATTTATTTAATGTTGCCATGCGCTGTGGCAGCCATCTTGAATTGACTATAAACTCTGTTGGTTCAGGTTCTGTAAGGACGCCTTTGATAAGAACTACAAGGCAACGATTGGCGTCGACTTTGAGATGGAGCGCTTCGAGGTGCTCGGCGTTCCCTTCAGCCTGCAGCTGTAAGTCTGACGGTGCGAACGTTGACTCTGCAAACTGTAAACAAGAAAACAACAGCTGCATTTACACCGTTGTTTCCTCATTTGTTGTTTCATCCTCACACTTGGGGTGTTTTAATCATTCACACGTCAAGTCCTTCAGCTTGATGGGGGACAGTGTACTGACATTTAGTGTTTGTTATACTTTTTGAACTGTTTAACTTCATCTACAAAAAAATCCTCAGAGATCTTTTTAAGTCCCTCAAAAACATTATTTTCTGTAACACATGTATATTACCAGCATACCTGCTCTGTTTTTGTCTTCTTATGCTAATTTTAGCTTTTAGCTCATGTTTGGTTAACTTAAATATTTAGCCACAGTTGTGCAAGTTTTAGCTTTAGCTGCAGTTTTGCTAATTTCAGCTGTGAGAAAATGTTTTAGTATATGTAGCTTTTAGCCACTCTTGAGAATTTTTAGCCATTTGCCACAGTGTTGCTAACTTTAGCTTTTAGTTAAGCTTTTCCCTACAGCTTTACTTGTTAGCTCACTTAATATTTATTACTTTTTACTAGCCTTTAGCTAAAATACTAGCAACATTTTTTTTTGACACACTTAGCTTTTAGAAACTGTTAGGCTGATTTTAGCAGTTTTACTTTTTTTAAGCCTTTAGCTTCATTTTGGCAAACTTTTCTTTTCTTCTTCTGTTTTTCACAATTTAGCTTTTAGTTCATCTTTAGATTAGATTTTACCACATTAGGGTTTTAGCTAAACTTTTGACAAATTTAGCTTTTAGGGTCTGTTTTGCTCATTTTAGCTTTAATTACAGTTTTGCAATTTTTAAGCTTTTAGCTTCAGTGTTTTGTCTCCATGTTGCTAATTCAATATTTTTTGCCACTGTTTATTTTGCTTTTAGTTACACTTTTGCTAAATTAGTCTTTAGCAAAAACTTTAGTTTAGTGCATATGGATGGGTTAAATGCAGAGACTAATTTTGCCATTGTATGGAAACATACAGTGCTGACATTGTGATGACATTATTATTATTATTATTATTATTATTATTATTATTATTATTATTAAGCTTTTAGTTAAAATTTGACACATTTAGCTTTTAGCTACTGGTTTGATCATTTTACCTTTTAGCTATGGTATTTCTCTAAAACTAAAATTTGTTACTGCTTCCTTTAGCTACCTTCTAGCTAAAGGTTTATTGATTTTATCTCATGTTCAGCTTGTTTTACCTTTATCATAGTCAGTAAATACGCATCATAGTTTCTGTTCAAAATGTCATTTCCTGTCCTTTTACTGAGGGGTGAATAAACTGGACGTTGCTCGGCGGCTCCCTCTGTGTTGCAGGTGGGACACTGCAGGCCAAGAAAGGTTCAAGTGCATCGCCTCGACGTATTACAGAGGAGCTCAAGGTGAGTTCTGTTTTCATTCATCGTTAGCTTCAGCATCAAGAAGAAAAAAAAACCCAACGAGTTGAATCTGTATTTTTTCTTCTCAGTTGTGATAATTGTGTTCGATCTAAACGACATCGCCTCTTTGGGCCATGCCAGGTAAGCTCACTCATCAGAACATGCAATGTATTTTTTAAAACCCCAGCTGGTCGAAGCAGATGGCCGCTCGTCCTGAGCCTGGTCATGCTGGAGGTTTCTTCCTGTTAAAAGGGAGTTTTTCCTTTCCACTGTTGTCATTGTGCTAGCTCAGGACGGGAGACTGTGATGAAGTGAAGATTCAACTCAATCTGCTGCTTCCGTAGATAACTTTTACTAACTGGCTTTTATAATGTATGTGAATGTTTCTGTTCAGTGCCCTGAGACGACTTCTGATGACTTGACACTATATAAATAAACTGAGTTGAATTGTTCGGTTCATCAGATTTAACAGCATGTTTCCTCGTCTGCAGGCAGTGGCTCGAGGACGCATTGAAGGAGAACGACCCCACCAGTGTTCAGCTGTTCCTCGTTGGCACAAAGAAGGACCTGAGTGTTGGTATTTTCCTGGTTATTGTTGGTGACCAAAAACATGCATGTTGGGCTGTCTTCAGGCCCAGGCCTCCCTTGCAAAAGAGATTTGTGATCTCAGTGGAATTTGCCTGGTTAAATAAAGGTTAATAAATAAATAAAATTGTTGATATACCAAAATGTTGGTATTAGTAGTTATTGTTGGTGAACCTGAGTGTTGGTATTAATTTGGGTATTGTTGGTATACTTAAGTATTGGTATTCTCCTGGTTAAGGTTGGTAAACCCAAGTGTTGGTATTAATTTGGGTATTATGGGTAGACCTAAGTGTTGGTATTCTCTTGGTTATTTAGACCTAAGTGTTGGTATTCTGTTTATTGTTGGTTGACTTAAGAATTGATATTCTACTGGTTAATGTTAGTGAACCCAAGTGTTGGTATTATTTTGGTTAATGCTGAAAGACCTAAGTGTTGGTATTCTCCTGGTCAATAGCCGCAGATGTTTTTACTTGAGTTGAATGGAGCCGTTTGGACTGATCCCAGAAGCACAGAATCTGTTTTCTGGTAGCACCTCATGAATGTTTCTCCTCCTTCTCTGAACTCAAAGTATTTGTGGATAAAAATGGAGCCCAGAGCATTTTTTGACTCTTTCACCTCAATTTAAGCAGATTCCTGTCATTTGAAGTTTTTTCATCATTACAGGTTTTCTTTTCAGACGTCACAGAAGAAAATAACCCCCCCCCCCCTTTTTTTTTTTCATTTCTTGTTTATCTCACAGTCTCCTGCTCAGTATTCCCGGATCGAACAAGATGCCATAAAACTTGCTAACGAGATCTGTGCGGAGTATTGGGCCGTTTCTTCGCTGACGGGTGAGTTGTTAGATTTAAATCCTGTCGAACATCCGGTGCAGCTCAGTGTAAAGTCAAACGCAGCGAACGGACGGTTGTCCACTTTTGGACATGAAGCAGAGACGGAGGTGGCTAAAGTGTAATACTTGTGGAGACTTTAATGTTTTGATGATTGTCATTGACAGATGTTTTTAAAATCCAGGCACGGTCTGTCGTCACACAGCAGATGGTGGCGGGCACGGATGCACCTGAACAATGATTATATGTTTTGGGTGGAGGTTTTATTCCACACGGTTATTTTACCGTTTTATTCTTTTGTCGAGCAGAGTGCTATGACTTTTGTTTTTGTAACTTTTATAACTTCCAAAATGTTTCTCCTTTTGTGTATTTACCAAAATGTCTCTAAAGAAACTCACTGAGATCTCTTCAGTCTTTTACAAAACTTTTATTTGAAATCTGCTTCAGTCAAACTGCTCTGTTTCTGTCATCCCATGCTCTGATTGACGTGTAGCTAATGTTTGGCATTTTGTAGCTTTTAGCAACATTTTAGCCAATTTTAACATTCAGCTAAGGTTTTGCTAAACTAACCTTTTTGCTTTGTTTTAGTTTTGAGATACTAGTTTGCTAAATGTAGCATTTGGGTATGATTTTTCTGAGGTTTGTATTAGCCACAGTTTTGCTAATGTTAGCATTTACTTACAAATTTGATAAATTTAGCTTTTAGCTACCATTTCACATACTTAAGCATTTAGGTGCTGTTTTGGTAATGTTTATTTTTAGCTGTGAATTTGCTTATTTTAGTTTTTATCTTTTAGTTTAATTGCAGCATTTAGCTACAGTATGCTTGCTAATTTTAGCTACTAGTTTGCTAATATAGATATTAAATACTGAACTTAGTGTCTGGACTGCTTGTTCAGCTCAGTTTCAGCTTCCTCGCTAACTTCAGCTGTCGTTCAGCCTCTCCCTGTAGTGTTGCTGAAAAGGCAGATTTTTCCAGCAATTTTTTTATTTATTTATTTATTTTTGGTCAAACCAAACGTTCCTCCAGATTATTCTGCTTGTGTCGGCTGAACTCCGTCTGAACAGTTCTGTTTAAAGCAGCTTTAATTGTTCTTGAACATGTTTTTATTTGGTTATTAAACCTTTTCTCAGATCTGATGGGTCTCTTCCTCCTGCAGGGGAAAACGTGACAGAGTTTTTCTTTCGAGTTGCTGCTCTGGCGTTCGAGACCAACGTTCTCGCAGAGTTGGAGAAAAGTGGAACGAGGCAGATCGGAGACGTCGTCAGTGAGTATCCGAACCAGAACCAGAACCTGGAAAACCATCACTTCTGTCCCAGAGTTTCAGTTTCAACCTTCGGCTCCGTGTGCCTCGCAGGAATTAACAGCACCTCCCGCGACCTGCAGGCCAGGTCCAAGAAGAGCCCGTCCTCCTGCTGCCAGTAAGGAGCGATGGAGGAGATGTTTCTCAGATCAAGGCTGCCGTCCGGCTCCACGAGGAGGGTCTCTGGTCAGACACTTCACTTCCTGCCATGTTTACGGTCAGTTTTTCCTGACTGGATTCTTGTGGCGACGCCCATTCCAATTCATGCGTGAGTGGACACAAGAATCGTGCAGAAAACAAATAAAATCCTGCCAAAAATTACAGAAAGGATCCTTAATTAGCTTAGAGCTTAGATTGTATGTAAAGATTAGCTGCCGTAGAGCATCTTACAATCTGGATTATATTTTAGTTTATTTTGTTTTTTGTCCTTTTAAACAGCAGTTTGTATTTTTGGCTCGTTAATGTGACCCAGGCTGGTAAAATGAGACACACTGAGGAACTTTTTAATATTTAGTAAAAAGAACAATCTTAATTCTCCATCTCAAAACTTCAAACTGATACGTAGTTTGTTGTAATTTGGTAATTTATCACCTGGCAGCAAGCTAGTGTTGTTTACGAGGTTGCTGGTTTGAAAACTTTTTTTTGTTTGTTTGGAGTGATGTCATGAGAAATTCAAAAAGCGTTCGGTACAAAAACAACTGGACTTTATTAAATAAAATAAATTTAAAAAATAAAAAAAATCAAATAAAGTCCAGTTGTTTTTGTATTGAACGCATTTTGAATTCATCATGTCCTGGATGACTGAGACTCTTCACCTGCATACGTCATGAGGAATTCTTTCCTCATATTCAACAAGCGGTACGTCGATGTCCCCGTTGCTGAAGGATTTGAATGGCGAATGTTTGTAGTTGTCCAGATGAGTTTTATTTTCTGGACCGGACTGAACACAACAGGGAATGCAAGTTAACCTAAATGTTTTTGGGCAGAGATATTTAAGTGAGTAGGAGTTGCACTGTATCAAAACAATTTTTTATTTTTGTGTTTGAGGCAGTGAAGAGTGATGGATCGTGGCGAGTGGAGGGAGCGATTTTATCCACCGCCAGGCACAATGGCGGAGCTAGGGGGTGGCCAGTGGTGGCCACCATAGATTAATCTTTGGCCACTCGTTTGAGGAAACTATACTTTTAAGCAATATAAAAACTAGAAAGCAAACTTTCCTCATATTATATATATATAATATATGGATGATAGATGTTTTGGTGGCCAGCTTGGATTTTTACCTGGCAACCCCGTGTTTTGAAAGGAACCTTTCTTACGCCTCGATGTAAGTCGATCCTTCACTTTTTGCAAGTTGTCGTGCTCGCAACATGGAGCTAGGTACTTTCAATTCCCCCTTTGCTTCGTGACGGGGGACCCAAGCTTCACAATGGTTCCAAACAATATACAAAGGGATTTCCTAGTTCTATGGGAAATAGGCAATTTTAAAGGAAATTAAAAGTATTATCTCTGAAGACATGCATGTCAGAAACCTGTGCTTTAAATGTAGATTAGGAAGGTTGTATGCTGTTTTAGTTACTGGGATCACTAGATGTGATCATGAACTTATTTTCACACAAAAATCAACATTTTCTTGTTTTTTGTGCCACAGCTCTTCGCTCACTCGGACTAATTTTACCAGCAGAGGTCAAAAATGTTTGCGTTATCACCAGCTGTGTCTGAGAGTATCTTTTCTCATGTATGAATTATATTTTGATATCTGACCTTTTATCCAAGCTGTTTTTTGTGTGTTTTCTTGGTGATGTGTGCTTTTGTTTTTATTTGTTAACCAGAGATGCAAATGGAGGAGAGTCGAACACACTCACTGACTTCCTGCATCTTCTGTGTGTTTTATAACACTTTTTTAAATAACATTTTATCTCTGAGTATTAAAGATGTTTGTGAGAGTTGCTGACACAAAAAAACTTTAAAGGTACTTTATCTGATTCATGACCGAGTTAGTTTTATTAAAGATGTCTGTTTAAATATTTAGTCTAATGTTTACGATTTTATTAAAGCAAAAGAGTAAAATTAATTTTTATGCTGTATTTAACTGAAAAAGCATGACTACGCAAAATAAAGTATTTTATGTCTGTCTTGGTTTATGTCCCCTCACTTTTTTCGTCTTAGCAGGATTTTAGTTTAATTTTTTATGGTTTTTAAAGGAGGCCAGATGTTTTCCATCGATCTGCGGCTGCAGCTCTTGGGGGATGCAGTGAGAGAACTTGTAGTTTTCTTTGATCCACTTCCCTCCTTCGGTGTTCTCGATGGCCACGACGGCGACACCTGCAGAGACCGGTGGGGCCGCATGTTCACGCTCAGCTGCTGGGCTTGGTTAGATCACACAATCGTCTCGTTAACTGACCTACAACTGTGGCTCCCAGGCTCTCCACCAGCTGGATGGCAGCCTTCATGGTTCCTCCGGTCTCGATCCACTGGTCCACCAACAGCACCCTCAGACCTGCAGCGAGACACGTGCAACGCTCTGAGGTCACAAAATGCAGCAAAACATGGATCAGCAACAAAACAACAGACAGATTTTTAAGTTTTAAGATCCGAAGATAAGAAGTGTTAGGGTAGCAGCCTGGTGCTGCTAACTGAAGCGTTAATTACTGAATAATCAATAATAAGCAAAGTTTTGATTGTTTTCTGCTCTGGAACATTTATGTAACAATGTTAAAGGAAAAGAAAAGAACAGTACGGATCAAGTAGAAGCAACTTTTAAGAAACCAGGTTAAACCAAACCATAGGGAGTCCTGGTTTAATAACCTCAGGGTTCCATCTCTGCTGTTTGCAGATGATGTGGTCCTGTTGCCGTGACCTTAAGCTCTCACTGGAGCAGCAGGGATGAGAGTCAGCGCCTCCATATCTGAGGCCGTGGTCCTCAGTCAGAAAAGGGTGGATTTCTCTCTTTGGGTCGAGGGTGAGGTTCTGTCTCAAGCGGAGGAGTTCAAGTATCTCGGGGTTTTGTTCACGAGTGAGAGAAGAATGGAGCGTGAGATTGACCGACGTATCGGTGCAGCTTCTGCAGTATTGTGGACTCTGTGCCGGTTCATTGTGGTGAAGAGGGACTGAGCTGTAAGGCAAAACTCTGTTTACCGGTCAGTCTACATTCCTACCCTCACCTATGGGCACAAAGTAGTGACCAAATGAACAAAATTGTGGATTCAAGCAGTGGACATGAGTTTTCTCTGCAGGGTAGCTGGACTGTCCCTAAGATAGGGTGAGAAATGTTTGGGAGAGAGACTGCACAGAACCGCTGCTCCTCCATAGCGAGAGGAGCCAGTTGAGGTGGTTCAGGCATCTGGTAAGGATGCTCCCTGAATGTCTCCCTAAGGAGGTTTTCCAGGCATGTAAGACTGGGAGGAGACCCGGGGAAGATCTAGGACACGCTAGAGAGATCATCTCTGAGGTGGCTGTGGATAGAGCCATCTGTGCCTCCCTGTTCAAGCTGCTGCCAGACTCCAGAACAAGCAGAAGATGATGGATGGATTAGAGGTGTACGTTTAATTAAAAAACTTCTCTCACAAAAGACTAAATCTGAATAAAAAAAAAATTAAATCTGCAGAATGTGAGCCCATCTTGTTTTTTTTTTGCACCTTAAATGTGAGCCAGCAAGCTGACCAGCTGCAAATATGATGTGAAATAAGAACTCGTTTCTTTAGTAGAGCTTCATGGAACTTATGACTAAAACATAAACAAGAGGGTTTTTAAAGACTATTATAAGGAAGCCCAGACAAATATTCTTATCTTTATATTTAATATGAAATAAATAGATTTATAAAAACTGAATCATCTGAAAAATTAAAAAAGCATTCAGCTGTAGTTTGTTTGATCTAACACCAGATAGTCCCGTGACAAGCAAAGTTCAGAGTCAAGTTAAAAGACTGTTCTTGTATCAGATTTTGTTAATGTTAATGTTAATGAGCTGTGGTGGCCATCTTGAATTTTTAATTAGCAAGCAGTGTGTGTTGGGGATTGCTCTCAAGTTTGACCATACCATAACTCAGCTCAGTATGTCTAAAAATGGTTAAGTTGAATCTATTTTGTACTTTGGCTTTGGTGGCCATCTTGAACTGGGTTGACCTCGGTTGTGGATGTGCATCCAAGAGACGGACGGGGTCAACAGCAACGGTAAATGCTGAATATTTAGGCAAAGATCTTGCATTATAAGCAGCAATTGGAGTTTGTGTTGTGAATTCATTCATTCATTCAACCTTTATACAGGTTAGACTCATTGAATCAAGAGGACTCGTTTTCAAGAGAAACTTGTTCTAAACGAAGATCACAGATAAGGTACACACAACGATAAACAAGAGAATGCAAATAAAGTATTTAAAAAAAGGTGTTATAAAACAAGATCCAATCAAGGTGCCAAAACAAGGTAAATACTAAAATTTGAAAAAATTAAAAACACAAGAACATATTTGATTTTTCTATTGAATTTATCAATTATTTCAAATCCCAGAAAGAGGTCAAAGTGGAGAGCTTCAGGGTCTTTTTGCAAGGTGTTCCAGGAGCAGAGTAAGAAATGGCCTTTTTGCAGAGTTCAGTGCGCACTGAGGGAATGCTGTAGCTAATGATGGCCTGAGAGCGCATGCTGTAACTGCACTGATGACATGACATGTAAGAGGAGATGTATGAAGGCAACAGAAGGATTTGTAGATGAAGATGTACCAGTGTAAGAGCTCGACAATAAACAATTGCATCGTCTGCATAGAGATGCAAGGAGGTGCCAGGAGTCTTCTGACCTACAGTACATTACTTATATAAATTGTAAAGAGAGTGGGTCCTAAGACTGAGCCTTGTGGTACACCATTATTGACAGTTAAATAATTAAAAGAAATGTCGTTGTGTTGAACACATTGTTTTCAGTTTGAGAGATAATTAGAAAACCATCTGATAGTGTGGTCTGAGAAACCAACACTGTATCTGAGAGCTTATGGCATAAGATGTCATGATCTACAGTATCAAAAGCTTTGGACAGGTCTAAGTGCAACACGGTAATGCTTAGAATCTATTGCTTCAACGTCACTAAAAACCTTTAGCAAAGCAGTCATTGTGCTGTGTTGTTTACTGAAGCCAGATTGGTGGGGGATAAAATATTTAAAGAATCCAAATACTTCTTGGCTTGAGTATTTACCAGTTTTTCTAAAACCTTAGCTAACATGAATGACTCTCAGCTACTACTACACCAAATACTAATATATGTGTAAAGTTCAGTAGTAAACTAGGGGCATTTTTGTGTTTGGTAAAGTTGCTTAGCTGTGGCAACCGTCTTACGCCTGAGTTTTATCAGTTGTAGCTGCTCATCCAGTGATTATTTCTCCTCCGTCCTCCCGTTCAAACATTAGCCACAAACATTCATCAGAGAAAGGAAGATTAACCTGGTTTCAGCACATCCACCCTTACTTCCATGGTCTTTTCTCTGCCCGAGTAGTCAGAGTAGTTCTGGTTCTGGCTCTGGACGCACAGATGACCAGCTTTACGGATCGCCAGGAAACCTTTTCCAAGGTTGTTGGCCATGGCTGCTCCTGAAACAGCAGAAATCATGTCAGTCTTCTCTGACAGGACAATCAGACAAGGCTCATCCTCATGTAGGACACTGTGGAACCCGGTGTGTGAGAGGAAATCTAAATTTAGTGTCTCACCCTGAAGGTTCAGGTTTCTGTGTCCAAGCCTCCTTTGGACTTTGCCCTCTCATGTCAGACTGCTTTGTTTCCTTACCCAGAATGAACCCCATGGCATCTATCCCAGCAACCAGGTCAACAATGTCGCTCTGAAATGGGCCAGCAAGGTCATTCACACAGTCCGCAAGAGCCTGGATCAGAACCAAACAAGGGGAATGAGCACAGACCACTTGGAAGCTGCAGATTTTACTAACAGAAGCCTGCTGTGAACCTCTTCTCCTACCTGGGAGTTGCAGTAAAGTCTGGACGGGTCCAGCCAGGCGAACTGGGGCCCCTTTGTGTTGGGGGCCATGAGGGAAAGGTACCATCCTTTCTGCCTGTCTGCAGGAACAGCGAACACGTCCATGGGCGGTCCAGAAGCTGTCCAGAACTGTTCACGGAACACCCAGCTGGACTGAGACTGAGAGAGGCATTCAGAGCCGGTTCCAGAGATGTGACGTTTGTGAACGGTCCGAATATTTTGAACGGCTCATTAAAACGAACGACGGCGACGAATCACTGAGAGATGTGTCCATTTCAGATGCAGAGACGATCGTGCTCCAACTTTGCTTTTCTACTGAGACGAAGGAGAACAAGCACAGGGAAGGAGGAGCGGCACCAGTTGGTGTACAGGGAAACATGCACTCACGAGGGGTGGGTGTGTGGGGGGTGGGGTGGGGTCACGTGATACAGCCCTTTCACCCTTCATCACTTTGTGAGCCGTACGAAGTAACTACTGTTTGAAATTAACGGCTCTGAAACAATTGGGTCCAAAAGATCCGACTCCCTTCAACGAGCCATAATTCCCATCTGTACTGGTGGGAGGATTCTGTTCCTGCAGAGTCTGCTGAACCTCTCATTCAACCCTCCTGCTGCCCTGGGGTCAAAACTCAGGAGGTCTTGTGGGTCACATAAGCTCTCAGATGAGTCAGTCTTTCAAAGTATTTAATCCATTTTGTCTTTCTAAATAAATATTTCATTAGAAAAAAAAGACACCACCGCCCCAACGGCTATTTTGGATGTTTGTTTTTACTAATTTGAGGTCATTAAAGGAAAAACTTTTACATTGTTTGTCTCCAATAATGATGTGACAACTAAGGTCAGTGTTCTCAACATGAACTTCCTGTTTTTAATTTTTTTCTTTGCAGTCAAACAACTTCTGCAGACTTTGGACTGTTATTGTCTTTAATTTGTCTAAACGTTCTGCTCAACGAGAAAAATAAATGTGTGCCTTGACGCTTAGTTTATGTAACTTTTATACTTTGAAAAATAATTAACTTTATTTGAACTAAAATAACTCCATAGAAATACACTGATTTTTTTCCCCGTTAATTTAAAAACACATACGAAAAACAGTTATTAAAACTGCCATTTAGCTTTAGCTTTTAGCTACCATTGTACCTTTTTAGCCACAGTTTTGCTAATTGTATTGTCTGTTTTGCAAATTTGAGCTACAGTTTAACTTTAGTTTAGCTATTGTGTTATGCTGATTTTAACATCTGTTTTTCTCATTTTAACTACTGTTTTGTAAATGTGACCTTTTCGCTTCTGTTTAGCTCATTTTAGCAACCCTTCTGCATCTTTTGGTTTTAGGTACGACTCAGCTGTTTTTAGCTACTGTTTTGCTCTTAACTTTTTACTATCGTTAGCTACCATTCAGCACTTTTAACTTTTAGTTATTGTTTTGCTTGGTTAGCAAACTCCTGCAGCTTCTGCTCCTTATAGCTTTGAGCCAAGATTTTGCTAATTTTAGCTTCTGTTTTGGTGCTATTAGCTTTAGCATCTGTTTTGTTAATTGAGGCTACATTTCTGCTCCTTTGAGCTTTTTTAGCCACTATTTTGCCAAATACTGTATAGCAACTATGTGACTGATTTTAGCTTTTGTTTACTTCTTTTAGCTACAGTTTAGCTAATGTTAGAATTTGTTTTACTTATTTTATTGACAACATTTAGCAACTGTTTTGCTCTTTTTAGCTTAGCATTGGTTTTGCTCCATATAGCTTAACTGTTTTTGCTATATTTGCATACGTTTAGCTAAATTTAGCATACATTTAGCAAATTTTAGCTACTGTTCTGCTTCTTTAAGTATTTAGGTAGGCTTCAAATGCTTTTAGCTACTGATCCATTTTCAGCGTTTAGTCTCCCTTCCCTTCCTTTTGTGGCTTTCTATTTTAACTGGTGGCTAGTTAAACAGCAGCTTCTAGCCGCTGTTTAATTAATACAGTATTAGCATTAGTTTTGCTGCTTTTAGCCAAAGCTTCCATTCTGCTTCTTTAGCCTCTAGCTACTGTTTTTGCTATTAAAATCTGCTGCTTTAATAATTTTAGCTTTAGCACTAATTTAATTCTTTAGCCTCCATTTAGCTAATATTTGTGCATTTTGCCGTTTTTATTCACATCTAGCTACTATTTTTTCTACTTTTAGCTTTAGCATCTGTTTTGATACTGTCATCTAGGTGTACTGTTTTGCTAGTTTTTGCATCTGTAGCTAATTTTAGCATATGTTTATCTAATTTTAGCTACTTGGCCTGTGATGCTTTAAGCTACAGCTCTGCTTTAACAGCTTTTAGCCACAATTTTGCTACTTTGAGTTTTTTCCAAACATTTATTTACATAGTTGTGCAGCATTTTAAACCTTTTTGCTTTATTTTGAAACTGAACTAAATATGACCAATGTTTTTAATTCTCATGAGCAGAAAACAATCTGACAAAGTTTCTGAAAACAATTTTAAAAAAGTACTTAAAAAATATATATAAGATCAGCTGAAAATCTTTATTTTTATTTTTTGTTTATTTGAAACATTTTTTTTTTTAAATGTCACTCATGTTTTAATGACAGACTCTTAAAAAGTGTTTTAATAATTTCAAACCACCGAGATGAGACTGATTTCATGTGAAAGAGTCGATGAATCCTTCTGTCATGTTTGTAACCGACCTGAACAGAACCTGATTGTTCGACCGGGTTTGATTTAAACACAGAACTCTTTTGTTTGTTTTGCTCTTCGTTATAAACCACAGGCCTGTGTGAGGATCGTTCTGTTCAGCTGGATCAGACATTTTTATTTTCATGAAAAATTATTAAACGTTGTGAATGAAGCTGAACCACAGATCCAATAAAAACCTGAATCCTTCATGTTCCAGGTTCTGGGTCCTCCTCAGAGCTAAGTTCCAGGTTCATGTTGACGGGGCAGAAACTCGACTCTTCTTCACAGCTTCTCATGCTGGAACTGTTTACAAAAGAACTGATTTATGAAATTTCAGACTAATTTTCTGAGACGGAGGTCCAGCTGGGCTGACGGCGAAGGGCTGAAGGTTCTGCCAGCAGCAGAACCACTTTCCCACAGTCTGATCCGTGTGTGGCGCTGAACCCAACGACCCGAGGTCAAAAGGTTCTGAATCACTTTAGACATTCTGCAAGTTTGAACCGTTAAATTCAAGCAGTGGTAATATTAAGAATATTAATTTGTGAAAACCATTGTTGTTGTTTTTGTTTCCTGCATGTTTTTATTTATTTATTTAAAGTTAACTCCTTCTGCAGACTTTGTTATATTTTAGCTGTTTGTGGATCAAAATGTTCGGCTCCTTTAGGAGAAGAGTGCTGTGACTTTTAGCTTTGTGAGTTTATATATATATATATTTTTAAATATTGAACTTTATTTACAAATCTTTTCCTTCCTTTACAGTTCTGTTTAAAATCTGCTTCAGCTAGTGGTTCAGTGTGATTTTCTTTAGCTACTGTTAGCTCAATTTTCGATACTTTTAGTTATTAAATAGCTTTTGCAACTTTTCGCTTTCAAATAGACATTTGTAACTTTCACCTTCTATTTAGCGTTTTGCTATTTTTAGCTTTAAGCTACCATTCTACTACTTTTTGCTATCCTTTTGGTACTTTAATTTTTATTCGGCCCTTTAATATTTTGAGCTTCTTGATAATTTTTTGCTCATTTAAGTTTTTTTAAAAGCGTTTTGTTACTTTTACCTTACAATTTTTAGCTTTTAGCTAATCTTTTGCTACTTTTAGCTATCATTTTTGCAAGCCTTTTTCTAGATTTAACTTTTACTCAGCCTAGTTTTACCTTCTAAAGCATTTACTAAGTTTATCTTTTAACTACCCCTTTATACTTTTATAACCTTTTGTTTCATTTAGTTTTTATTTATCATTCTGCTACTGTTAGCTAGTTTTTGCTAATTTTAACCATCTTTTTGCTACTTTTACCTTCTAGCTTCTAACTTTTTTCTACTTTTAGATAGTCATTTCTTACTTTTTAGCTTTTAACAAGATGTTTTTCTGCCTTAGCTTACAGCTAGGCTTTTGCTACTTTGGAATTTTTGTTAATATTTTGCTGCTTTCTGCTACAGCCTCTAACTAGCCTTTGTATGTATTAAAATGACTGTTTACATAGAAATAGTTTCCGTTCAGTAGATTATAATTTAAAAGGCAACATGGAAGTAAATACATTTTGTTTTGCGGAAATATTTTATAAGATGTTTGAGGAAAACACTTCGGAAACAAATGATCATATTCCATGAAGCAAAGCTACAAAAAGGTAAAAATAAATAAGAAAAGATGGAAACAATTTTTATAATTTTCAACAGATTTGGTTGATGTTTCCACTTTGACCTCTAGATGTCAGTACAGATGATGCTGAGGAGGTGCGTGCGCGTGTGTGTGGGGGCTTCTATGGAGTTTTGAACATCACAGATTAAATCCAGTTCATGTTGAATTCCCTCACTCCGCTTGACTTACATTAATGCATGAGTCACACATGCTTTGGTGTGAGCAGCAGATGTGAGCTAATGTTATAATTTTAAGTGACTCAACGAGTAACTAACTGAATCGAATCACTTTATTAACTGATTCGTTCCTTTCTCAGTTCACTTGAGCTCAATTTGAGCATGCTGGTCGGGAGCAGAACTTCTATGTTCTATCCAAGTTAATGGTTAATGATGAGTCAGCATGAAAATAAACGCACACACACTCCGTCCCTATTATCTTAACAAACTAAAGGACACATAGAGGAGACTGAAGAAGAACGCGAAGCGTGGGTGGCTGAGTGTGTAGGTTAACCTGTGTCCCCTCCACCCACCCCCAGTCCCAGTGGTCAGAAAGAAAGTGAGACAGTGTGAGTGAAGATGAGCGAGTCAAGAAGAAAAGGTCTGAACACAATTTAATTGCATTCCTGCTACAGCTGCGAGGTTTCTGTATTTAAAAAAAAAAAATCTCCTTTTCTTTTTTTTTTTTTTTACATTAATTGATAAACTCAGCTATTTTTATTTCAATTTTTCGTATAGACCAGACACTGTCCTTAATAAAATCCTTATAATAATAATAATAATAATAATAAAAGAAAGAGGACTCGTGTTTACA